GGAATCACTGTTAAACGTGTATATATATATTTTTTGGTTATTTTGGCTGTTAGACTTGAATACTGGAGCAAATTAATGTTGAATATCAATTTTAATGAGTACCTTCTTAGTTCTATCCAAGGGTAAGATAGAATGCAGGGAGGTGGGGCGGATGGGGATTGGTCTTGGAATGCCAGAAAGTTTTTGGCTACTTAGGGCATTACATTTTTAAAAACTAAATTATTTATTTTTTATTCATTTATTTTAAAATTAAAGTTGATGAAATATTATATTCATTTTAGGTGTACAACATAGTGATTCAATATTTATATACCTTACAAAGTGATCACTATAAGTCTAGTAACCATCTGTCACTGTACAAAGTGATTATGCTATTATTGCATATTCCCTATGTTGTACTTTACATCCCTGTTCACGTATACATGGAGAAACAAAACAAATGAACAAAACAAAACAGAAAGATTCATAGAAGCAGAGAACAAACTGATGGTTGTGAGAGGGGAGGGAGTGGGGGGGATGGGTGTAAAAGGTGAAAGGGGATTAGGAAGATAAACTTTCAGTTATATTATAAATAAGTCATGGGCATTCCATTTTAATCACCTCTCAAAAGTGGATTAAGACCTTGGCGGATAGTGGGAGAGACACCAATTTACCTACTTGCATTCAATTCTGCTTTGCTTGATCTGAGAAGAGAGAGAGTTGGTTTAGCCTGTGGGAATATGGCCCTCGTGGGTCCACAGCTCTCACGTGCCCAGTGCTATACCATTCACAGCCATGAGGCTCCTCTAGCCTATTACATCGGGGCATGTGGCTGTGACATCACGCCCACCACCAGTGCGTGCGAGGGCCAGGTGCTCAGCTGCACGGACAGAGGTTGCACTGGAGAGCCATCCCCATCAGAACCCAAGTGCCCCAGCATCCCTTTTCCTTCCTCCAGCCCCGATGAAAAAAAACACACCAAATATTTAATGCCTAGGTGCCCTTTGTAATATGTATTACTTCATGTATTTCTCAGAACATCCCTACAAAGTAAGATAATTGTAATTCCATTTATATGGAGGCTAACTTGCTAACGTCAGTAAGACAGCTGGGGCCGGGCTTTATCTGACTCTGTGGTCCATGATCACCCATGAAATAAAGATTAAGTCAAGGCCCTAGAGCATTTGGAGCCTGTGGGTACTGAGGGGATGAGGGCGAGGGGAAGAGAGTGCGATGCAGGAGAGGGAGGCCTGCTTTTCTCCGAGAGGTGGCTCTGACCCCTCGGTGTCAGCGTGGCCTGGCCTCCTGCTCTGCCCTAGCTTTTGTGTGATGAGAGGCCTCCAGGCCAAGTGTTGAAATGCACAGTAAGGGCCGCCTGCCTCCTTCCTCTTATGTGGCACTTGGCTGGCGCTCCCAATCTTGTTTAACAGCTGACAAGTTGTTAGATCAGAAGAGAGTCAAGACTTCTTGGTATCTCGGTTTGCTTCTCTGCAAAATGAAGACTGCAATCTTCTCTTTTTCTGTGGCCTTTGAAGAGTCGCTATTATCTGTATCGAGTACTTTACATTAGAGCATTTCTGCAAAGTGCATAGAAGCACCGTAACCTTCCCTTGGACAGGTTTGTTCTCCCCCTTCAAATGCTTGTTTGTTTGTATGCAGGCTCCCACCCCCTGAAGCTCAGCAGGCCACCAAGTCTCATTTCCAGGGAGTGTCATTTAAAAGCCAAAGCAAGCTGACTACAAACTTTTTCACATGTGCCTCTCATCTGCTCAGCAGAAATCCCTGTAACTTGTTAATAGTTCCCTTCATATTTTTTTTTTTTGTAGTGAAACCAATTGAGGCCTTAAATCAGTACCATTCGTTCCATCGTGGGCCATCCGAGAAAACCATTTAGACTTGTAAAAAGTCATCTGCTCCATCCCGCACTTCCTGCTCCAGGCCAGGGCCCTATGGAGCAGACCTATACCAGGACAGTTCTGTGTGCTGATTGGGGGGTCTCCTGGGGGACCCCATAAACATCAGATCTTGGAGAGCACGGCCAGACTTTCAAAGAGACGAGAACAGATACAGAGCCCATAAAACACAACTCTCTTTACAGCTGGAGTTGAATTTCCCCATTTGTGCCATAGCACTTATTTCACGGAAGCTCGTGGCATTTAGGGTGGAAGGTGAGGAAAATGTGTAGGAGGAAGCACACGCTTCCAGAAAAAGGATTCCCGAGCTTCCTGTAAGGCCCTGCAGGCGAGGCTGTCCAGAGTTACGAGAACAAGAAACACAAGATGCTCGCCCTCTTCCTTTTCAGCCAGCCCCTTCCAGGATGCTTTCGTTATATTAAAAGGATTACTTGGAAAGTATTGTTATTGGCCATCCACACTTTAGAGTAAAACCTTGGATTGCGAGTAATGTGGTTTGCCAGTGTTCTGCAAGACGAGCAAACATTTCTCATACATTTTAACATGGTAAACGAGCAGTGTCTTGCAACACGAGTAGTTTGTTTCCAGAATGAATTATGCTCGCAAACCAAGGTATTACTGTATATTGGATCCTCAGACATAACATAATTCTGGGATGGACGAAAACTGAGCCTGTCAGTTTGAGGCCCTCATTTCACAGATGAGGTAGCTCACCTGGCCTGTGGTCATGAGCTGGATGGAGGCCAATGGACCTGGACCTGGGCTTGGTGCTCTCCCTGCCATGGTCAGCTGCTGGCTTCCTTCTTCCACAGGTATTGTAATGTTGGCCTTAGTTCAATTTGTGGAAGAAAAATCTTTTTACCTCTCTTAAAGGAACTTAAGGCATGAATAAGAAACAAGGAAGGAGAATTTCCTGAAATGACTCTAAAATCAGCAGCTATTATAACTAAATCCAATGCTACCTTGGAAGCTCACTGAAGAAATTTGTTTGACCAGAGGAGATGGTATTAGTTGAACTTTGTCAAAATTTAACTCTGAAAATAACTATTCATAAGAGCTAAATTTGTAATTCTACAGCCAATACTACTATCATATCTGTGGATATAAGCTGAGGCTTTTTTTTCCTGCTAAGAATGAACTCTGGGCTCCTTTCTGATGTGTCTCAATTTGCACATCTGGGACGCTCCTGCCTGGCACATTGTGGATGGCATTTTTGCATCTTAGTATCTGGGATCTTGCTGATTTTCTTCCCTTTTCCTTCACTGATAAAAACCTTATTCCTGCTCCTTTCCACTTAAAACGGCCTTTACCCTTTCACAGCAGCTCAAGTTCTAAGTGTCCCTACCTGAGGTGTGGATGACTGAAAGGGTGCCATGTGCCCTGGGGAATCAGAGCTCTAAACAACTCTGGGAAATGCCCTATCTCGCCTGGAAGGAGGGATTCCACCACGGGAGATTCCTTATGGAAGACAAGGCAGCCACTCATTCTGGAATTCAAATGAAAGCTCCAGCAGCCTCAGCACTGACCACTGTCTTTGACTTCCAACGGGCGAGGCAGGAAGTGGATGGCCAGGGAAAGGGGTGTCTTGGAAAGGTCATTTTGGCCTTAAACTCTGAGACCACACTGGAAGTAGGTTGGGTTGAGCTGGCCCTTTGTCTGCTGGTGCATCAATCAGCCACCAGTCCAGTTCTAATATCTACATGTCATAAGAGCAACGCTTTCAAGTACAGATTCAGGGACTGTAGGAGATGGAAGGGACCTGGAGGTCTTCTAACCCAAAGCGTGCTCCCTAGACCAGCAGCATCAGTATCACCTGAGAACTTATTGGAAAATGCAAATTCTTAGGCTCCGCCCCAGAAATATAGCATCAGAGACTCTAGGGGTGGAGTTAGCCATCTCTGTTTCAACCAGCACACGCGTGTTTAAGAATCACTTCTCTAGGCCCTTCGAAAGAAGGAATTTGGGTTGTATCATTGGTTCTCAACCCGGGCCACACATTAGAATTATTTGGAGAGCTTTAAGACAATATGGATACAGAGGTCCCATGCTCAGAAATTCTCATTTAGTCAGTCTGAGGTGGGATTCAGGAACGTCAGCAATTTTGAAAGCTTGACGCTTCTGCTAGCTTGAGAACGACTGATCTAACTCAAGTTCTCATCTTCCAGAATCTAGATAAAGAAACTGAAACCCCGAGAGGAAAGCGATGTGCCCAGGGTCAGATGGGGGTTAGTGTGGCAGAGCTGTGAGTAGAACGCAAATCCCCTGACTTTATGAGCTGTTTGGCCTCTTGTTGTTTAAATATCCAAAACCCAAAGACTACATTTACAATCTTTGTTCCAGTCTGAGACTGGACAGGCTCTCACAAAGGGAGATGAGCAGAGCCTGGGGATCATAATGGTTTCGTTTTGAGTTAGCATTGCTTTATGCTAACTGAGCTCTTACAATTGTGCTCATAATGTCTTTCATATGACAGAACTTCAATCCCGTACCCCAGTTCCCACTACCTGTGCCCCTCTGCTCAGCCCTTCAAGGCCTCAGCCCTGACTCGGTACCCTGCCCCAGTATCCCGTTTCCTCTGAGACTAAGGTCCTGAGATTCGGTGTCCTATATTTTTGACTGGAAGACTAAATATGGTGAAGTAGGCAACAGTGCCAGATTAAAATACTTCTGTAATGCATTTGCACTGAGAATGGGAGAAGTTGAGCTAGTGGATTTTAATGCTGATTACCAGAGGTCTTACTGGAAAGTGAAGTTGATGGTGAGGAGTGGCAAAGTGAATATTGGAAGGTTTATTATTTATTTTTTTAAAAAACAAGACTTACTAAGATCTACTTCATAGAGAAACAAAAGAGTTTTTTTAGTGTTCTTTTTTGTCACCCTCTTTGTCCTCTCTATTGGAGTGTGGTGTGTATGTGTATGTGTGTGTGTGTGTATATGCTGGCCCACACAGGTGGAATCACTTAGCATAAGTTTGCTGAGTTAAGTGGTTATGTAAAAGTCAGCCCATCTTGGACATTTGAGGGTACCTCCTGCATGGCTTGCATCTGGCCTAGACAGACTCAACTTAAAAGGCCTCTGTGTCAATAGAATTCATGTTTTATTTTTCAGGGGGCAGCACAGGCACTTCCCCGACCACCTCCAGCACTGGGACACCATCCCCTTCAGCTTCTTCTCATCTTTTATCTCCATCCTGTTCTCCTCCAACTTTTCATCTGGCCCCCAACACTTTCAACGTGGGCTGTCGAGAGAGCCAGCTGTGCAACCTGAACCTCTCTGATTATCCACCATGTGCCCGAAGCAACATGGCTGCCTTGCAGAGCTACCCAGGGCTGAGTGACAGTGGCTACAACAGGCTCCAGAGTGGCACTGCTTCTGCCACTCAGCCCTCTGAAACCTTCATGCCTCAGAGGACTCCATCCCTGATCTCAGGAATACCAACTCCTCCCTCGTTGCCTAGCAACAGCAAGATGGAAGCCTACGGTGGCCAGCTGGGGTCCTTCCCCACTTCCCAGTTTCAGTATGTCATGCAGGCAGGCAATGCAGCCTCCACCTCCTCCTCACCACACATGTTCGGGGGCAGCCACATGCAACAGAGCTCCTACAATGCCTTCTCTCTCCACAACCCTTACAACCTGTACGGATACAATTTCCCCACTTCCCCGAGGCTAGCGGCAAGCCCAGAAAAACTGAGCGCCTCTCAAAGCACTTTACTCTGCTCTTCTCCTTCCAACGGGGCCTTCGGAGAGAGGCAGTACCTGCCCACGGGGATGGAGCACGGCATGCACATGATCAGCCCTTCACCCAATAATCAGCAGGCGACTAACGCCTGCGACGGCCGGCAGTACGGGGCGGTCCCAGGCTCCTCCTCCCAGATGTCTGTCCACATGGTTTAGTGGCGGGTCCGACGCACCGGGGAGCCTAGAGCAGCCCAGGCCCCAGTCCCCATGGGCAGATCCTCCTCGTTGGGAGCCCAAAGCCTTTGAAACACAGGAACTGCGGTTTTTTTTGTTTGTTTTTTTTTGTTTTTTGTTTTTTTTTTTTTCTGGCGGAGGAAAGCATATACCCAAGAACAATAAGAGACTTTCAAGCCACTGAAGTATTCTCGCGGTGAATCATCTCCAACTCAGTGGCCATTCTCCTGCCTTCCCGAAGCTTCGATTTATAAAGCATCGTCTCCTCCAGAGTGGCCTTTGAAGAAACTGAATAATCATTTTATAATAATGTTAAGGGAGATGCTAGTGTTTAGCAGCCATGAAAAGTTAGCCACACACACACACACACACACACAGACCTATCGGTACATACACACATGCATGAGTACACACACACACACACACACACACTCACGGCTCAGACCTGGGCGAACTCTGTGGAAGGAGGCCCAGAATGGGTGCTTTCACCAAGAATTTTTCTATGTACAACGCTAGATGGACTGGGCTAGCAGCAGCTGCCGACCTCGGTCCCCTGCAGCTTCCCCTGTTTCCGGAATGAACCATGTATCCTGGAACCCTTTCCCATCGATCAGGGTGCAAAGACGTCAGCACTACACCTGGACTTGGCTTCTTGAAAAGATTGCTTTTAAAACTTTGATTGTCTTCACTCAGTGTGCTATCATCGACGTGCCCAGTGGGAAAAGAGGGAGTAAGAACAGCTGAATGAGAGAGGGAGAGAAAGAGAAAGAATAGAGGGCAAGAGAGAGGCGGAGAGCAAGACTGAGAGAGGAAGTGTGAGATTGCTGAGAGTTCTGATTCACCAAGGAAGTTTGCTTTTGGTTTGTTTCTTCCCATCCCCCCTACAGGTTATAGAAAGAATCCTGGTGTCAGTGAGGAGGAAACGGCTCTGGGACACTGGGCCTGGTCAGGGTGCTGGTGAGAGGGATCGGGGGCAAGGAGAGCACCTCCATCCCACAGGTCTGACCGTCGTGATCCAGGAGAGGCGGGAAGTGCCGTTCCCAGAGCGCGCAGCCTGGCGGGGACGCAGCAGTGTGAGGAAGGACGAGTATTACAATCCCGGCAATGAAACCAGGCGCAGAGGCGACAGACAGAGGTCTGGCCTCCCGCATGCCAGGTCCAGACACCTGACCTGGACTGCCGGCCCCACAGCTCCTGAGGCAGGAGACATCCTGTCACGTTCCAGGGAATTGCAGATGGGCCTCTACATCCTTCCACCTGCCCTTAGATCTCCAGTTTTTTATCCAATAGTTCATTGCATTTTGATGCTTTGGGTTTTTTCCTTCATCTTTCCCTTCCCTTCACATCCTTTAATGATAAGAAAACAAGTGGAGTTTGGTGCCAGCTAAACTTTTAAAAATGGTGTGGAAATGCAAATAATACCAAGTAAAATAATACAGATATTATTAAGATTTTTGGTTTTGAGGTGTTGTAGATAAGTGTATTTATGTGCCTAGTGGGGGAATTCAAAATTATGAATATTAAAAAAAAGGGGGCAATAAAAAGGGTATGTAAAATATGTATGAAGAAAAGGTGTATAAAAATTTGCCCTTATGCACGGAACTCTGTTTCTAAGTGCCAAGCACAGAAAGCCGCTAAATAAAATCTTTGCCATTGTTTTCTGCGTGTTTGTTCATAATGCATCAGCCTTACACTTCACAATGACCCCAACATTGTCATTGCGACTGCTTTAGTTGATCTTTATTCAGACCCCATCAAGAAAATGTTACCGTCCTCACCTTATGATTAGTAACTGAGCAGAGAGATGGCGTGAATCCAGAATCAGAATCATATAGCTAGCCCGTCACAGAGGGAAGTAGAACTTGAAACTAGGTCTGGCTCAGTTAGCACCATCATTCCTCAGGAGCTCCAGCAGTCCCATGAGGTGCGGGGACAATCAGAGGGAAGATATATTCTAAGGGGGTGAGGCAAGGCTGCCTCTGCGGCTGGATTTACTTGGTACATTTAATCCTAAATATATACCCTCTCCTTTGAATGCACCACCACAGCAAGGAGGAGTCACTCTGAGTTGTCAGGCAGCAAATGATGACTTATAAGACACTAACAATGAGCCTAGGGCTCTTCGATTCATAAGCACTTTTCCATATTATCTCATTTGAGCCTCACAGTAACTGAGATGTGGACAGGGCAGGAAGTATTGTTTTGCAAACGGACGACTAGGATTACCAAGGTCTTGACCTGCCTGTACTTAGACAGGGCTGGGAGGCAGCAGAGCTGGGACTTGAAATCTCTGTTCTTACCCCTACCCAGACTGTTTCTTCCTGGACCGTTCCCCTGGGAGCCCGCTGACCCATTTCATTAGGGCGGCTCGAGCTGCTGACCACCACAGTCAGTCACTGGAAACGGAGCTTGGTTTGGGGGAGCAAAAACCTTAATTAATCATTGCTTTTGTTTTATAAATAACTTCAGTGAGTGGCATGCCAGTTAATGTCATTAGCTTCCAGATGACTGACAAAATAGCTGGGACAATGGCTGACTGAGGACCAACATGGTCTGTAGGCTCTCTGGACATGAGAAGTCTCAAAACTTCAAAAGACTCTTCTATTTAGAAATCTTACAGTCAACACTTGGCTTCATAACGTAGACCTAAAACAGCTACATATGAAGCTTATCGTTATTTCTTTCTGATTTAGCAGCACACCAAACACTTCACTGGTCTAATAATGTTAGAGGTTTTAGGTAATAGGTAATCATAATACTCCAAGGAACAAATTTGACATAGAAGTCTCCATATTTTCATTTAATAGGATAATAACATCAGTAATCATTTAAGAGTATTACATATAGATTTGGATTAATTGGAATAATCCAAGTCAGTTACATCTGAATTATGGCATGTGTTTCTATCTGTAACTGAGAACCAATACAAAATACATATTTTGACACAAATTGGATGAAGAACTGTATGCTCTACCCAATTCTCTTAAATGAAATGGTGAAAATGATTATCATTGGCATATTGGTTACATACGAAGGGCTATTTAGACATTATTATATTCACGGGGCTATAGAAGGATCATTCCTCAATAAATTAAGATACTCTAGCCTTGCTCACGGTTCTAGGGGAAAGGCTATCTTGTTCACAGTCTCTGCATTCTCAATGCCTAGGACAGTTCCTGGCCTATCACAGAATCGCAACACCTATTCATTCTTAGTGTTGAATCTGTAGACCAAACCCATTTCTCAAGGATATTGCAACATGGTTGTATGGCTGAATTATCATCCACTCCAAATTAACGGGACCTAAATCAACAATGATTTATTGTTCTTCATTGTATTCTGTGACAGATTCATGTAAACTTAACTTAGATACTAGATTGCCACCAGCCTTACACAGACATTATCTTAGAATTTGCTAACTCCAACTTCTGCCGCGGGCAGCCATCCTCTCACTAGAAGATGCGCTCTGTGAGTCTCACATCCGCTGAGGCAAGGCATTTTTTTTGTCCTTCCAAGGGCTTTGTGGCACTGATACTTATTTGCTGAAGCCCTGCTGCTGGCCTTCTGGGACTGGGGCCTCTTAAAGACTTGTTGTTTCGCAATCTATCTTCTACTCTTCTACATGGCCCCAATAAAGCCCTATTTTCATCACTTCCTTGGCAGAGGATGAGAGTTACCCCTTCTACCTGACTTTATTAAAAGGTAAACACTAATGATCAAATCATCAATTAATAACAAGGTAATGAACAATAATTAATAAAAAGTATTAAAAACAGCTTGGTATTCTACATTTTTCTTGAAACTATTCCATTATATGAGGATATAGAAAATTTCTAACTTCGAGAAGATTTTGGCTTGGCGGAGGAGTCAAGGTATGTGCATATGAAACTCTGAACAATAAAAGTATTAAACTGGTGGTAAAGGTCATACAGACATACCTTTTTGTTGCACTTTGCAGATATTGCATTTTCATCAATATCAAAGTAAGACTCTCCACCAGCAAAAAGATGGCAACTTGCTGGAGGCTCAGATGATGTTTATTTATTTATTTATTTTAAAAAGATTTTTATTGGGGAATTGGGGGAAGGGGAACAGACAAGTTGCTGTCCTTTTGTTCTTCAGTCTAGTTGTGGAGGATGTCGCTTCACTGGCCCATGTTGGTATTATCATTGCGCTCTTCCCGGGCGAGGCAGATCAGTCACCGGCTTCTGGACGGCTGCTCACAGTGGCTGCTGGCCACTCACGCTGGCTGCTGGCTACACACGGTAGCCCATGGCAACCCACTACAGCAGGGACTGAAGCCTACATGTAGCAGGCGACTCTCAGTAGCCCAGCTCCAGGTTGAGCTGTTGTTCAGCATTTTAGCTGTAGAGGGCAGTGTCACTGGCCCTCATATGTGGGATCCGAACTGGGGCCCTTGGCGTGCCAAGCCAGCTCTTAACCAATGCACCACTCCGCCGGCCCTCAGATGATGTTTAGCACTTTTTAGCAATCAAGTATTTTTTAATTAAATTACGTATATTATTTTTTAGACATAATGCTATTGTGCACTTAACAGACTACAGTATCATGTAAACAACTTTTATATGCACTGGGAAGTCAAAAAATTGATGTGACTCACTCTATTGTGATATTTGCTTTATTGTAGTGGTCTGGAACCAAACCTGCAGTATCTCTGGCGCATGCCTGCTTATGCTGCACAATTTTAGAAGGAAACACGTTTTTATTAAGTGTTTATTACATGTCACACATTATGCAAAGTTATCCTATAATCCTTGCAACTACCTTACAGGATTTGTATTTCAATCCCTATTTTATAGATGGGGAAACTGAAACCTATAGAGGTTGGTAATGTCACAAAATCGTGAAGCTCGCAAGGAACAAAAGCAGGGCTGCAACCCAGGCTTTTCCACCACTGTGTCCTTCTAAAAATGAGATTGATCGGGACTACAATAGAGAGAGAAGTGTTTGTGGAGAAGGTTGAGCCTGAATTTTCCTTTGAAGAAGTCACGGAAACTATAAACGGATGGGAAAGGAGGGTGTCCTGCTGTGAGGGTGGGAAGCAGCACAGTTAAGAAAAGTATTCTCTATTAGGAAAGGTATTCTCTATTGCGGTGACTCTATTAAGTCACATCTCACCTCTGCTCCCGGCACCATGATTCTGGACTCCTATATCTTGTGTGAGATGTCCTCGCTTTGTCCTAGCTTGGGCGATTCATGTTGTCCTCCAGGGTCTCCGTGGGAACCGTCATACTGGAGAGGACCAGTGGGGGCTGGGAGGTGATGGTGGAGTCAAACTATTAATACATCCTCTGCAACACCACCACACCAGCCCTCTCCCAGGCCAGGGCCCCAAGCCAGGTTCACGGCCACACTCCCTGAGCGGGGCTCTGCACAGAGCCCCTTGCTTTCTGCCGCCAGGCATCACTGCCACGTGGGATGCTGAAAGGGGGCCTTGCTGCTTACAACCGAGAAAACAGTCATCATGTTTTCCTTCTTAGCTCATTTTACTGCTCACAGCTCTTATCTTTTATGGGCCAGCCTAACGGCATTTCCCAGTTCAGATGCTTCCTCCTCACACTTTCTGCATCCATTAGACCTTACTGCAGGCCCTGCAGAGGCACAGAAAACCAGAGACGGTTGGAGTCCCTTTTAGTGTCTTCACCCAGCAAAGCTGAAGCAGACAAAGGGGGCTGCCAAAGGGTTGCCAAGCCCACCCTCCGGCAGTTCCTCATTCTAGAAGTTTCTGTACCCCATGAATAGGATTCTTGGAGTTCTCCCCATCTTTCTATACTGCACATCCTTCCCCCACCCATCTGCAGGGAAAGCCCCTCCTGAGCTGTCTCCAGATGATGTAACAGATAAATCCCCAAATCTGAACACACTCAGTGTTTATTTCTCACGCATCTCACAATCCAATATGGGCTTCCTGGAGAGGTGGCCCTTCTCCAAGCAGTGATTCTGGGAACCAGGCTCCTTCCAGCCTTCACTACCTTCAGCACACAGCTTGGTACCTCTCTATTCAGGTAGCAGAGAGAGAAAGGATGGAAGCTTAAACATGGGAGGTAATTATAAGTCAGGCCTGAAATTGGTGATGTGACTTCCTCCTAATTTTACAGTTGGTACTCCAATGGGCACGCCTAACTGCAGGGGAAGCTGGGAACTATAGTCTAGTTGAAGGTCTAGTAAGAGAAGGAAACAGCTTTGACAGGCATTAGGGGGTCTGCAAGCCCCTGAGCCGATCTAGACTTATTTTCTAAGATCTGCATTTTCTATTAAAGCAGCAGGTAAGGATAAGGCTACCTTCTGGTCCTAGCTTCTCTGATGTTTTAACCTGGAGCAGCTGACTTGACCTCAGTAGTGTTCAGTGGGAGCGCTTTCCCATTCTCCTAAAACATCTTTAGGGTTTATAAAATGCAGAATGAGCTTTTCTCCAGTGATAATAATTATAAAACAAGAAACATTTCTCAAGCGCTTATTATGTGCTAGCTAGGTGCTTTCCATACATCTTCTTATATCTCAACAACAATCTTATGAGAGTGATATTATTATTATACCAATATAATAGGTCAGAGAATAAAACACAGAGAGGCTAAAAGTCTTGCTTAAGGTCACACACACTCAGGGAGCCCTATTCAGAGCCTGCACTATTACGCAATGT